TCGGGGATTTTGAGCAAATTTTCTAAGAGCCTCGAAAAAACGTGTCTTCAAATAATGGTTTTTTCCTGGATACTTATGCAATTAAAACTTGCCAGATATATTGATTTACATACATTTATTTGTACTTTACGCACATTTATATGCGTACGAAGCCTTACTAGAAAGTTTTTTTTATATAAGTACATTTTTTCATTCCCGTAACTCATTGTACCGAACATTTATGGAAAATTTCGTCAAGATCGGATATATGGTGTCGGAGATAATTTCTGAGGGGGGGCCCTTAATCGAAAGAATTGTGTATAAAAGAGAAGAGAGCTAGTAGTTCACATTTCTAGCCCACAGAATTATGCTGACACACTTTCTTTTATTATTTCTACAGATTCTACAACAATGTCTCGTGAATTAAGTAACAACTCGACGTTTGATTCAGCTGATTATAGAAAAGGTAAGTTGTTGGTGCTCGTTTCTCTGATGACATCCTGATAGTTTTTCGAAATTGTGACTATCGCTAGCAGAACTGCGGGGTGTTGTGCAATTATCGGACTCAGCCTCGCATGTACGTACGTACAAAAAAATATGTTTAATCTATCTAATGGTCAAGTCTTATATTTTACTAATGTGGACTCAAGAATAGAAATGTTGCCTAAACTACTACATGTCAATAATGTATCACTGCCGAAAAGGTTCGAAAGAAACCGTTTGACCCATACACTTGTTTGCTCTTGAATTTGAGCCAGACTCCTGCTTCTAACTACATATCAATAAAAAAGCTGACCTATATACTCTCTAAAAAAAAAAGGTACTCTACCTAATCTAAAAAGGGTTTAAACATTTGTCACCATCTATATACCTTTTTAAGATTTCGTACAAACAGGGTTCGGTATTGTATCTGCTATTTTTGTAACCTAATAAAGGTTTCGTATAACACTATCGCTCACGTCAGAAGAGGGTTTGGTACAGTATTTCGCCAACAAAAGACTTGTTGTCCATACTTGGCTTTTTATTCACGT